GGAGCAGGGAAAAGTGAGTCAACATTATCTCATTCTGGAACCAGAAGTCCCCTAGTGTAGTTTGGAAATACATTTCTTTTATTTATTTATTAAACTTTTAAAAAAGATGTTTAAAATTTATTTATTTGAGATAGAGAAGGAGAGAGCGCATGAGCAAAAGCAGGGGGGAGGGGCAGAGGGAGAAGCAGACCCCCCGCTGAGCCAGGAGCCCCAAAGCAGGACTCAATCCCAGGACCCTTAGATCGTGACCTGAGCTGAAGGCCAGCCACCCTGAAATACATTTCTTTTAGTATGAGTGCATTTGAGCACCTTCTGATCAGTTTTGAATCCATTTTAATTTCTTTTGGTATATTTCATTTTGGTATTTTTTTGACATTATTTGCTCATTTTTTATTGGCTGGTGGTGTTTGAGGTATTGATGTGTGAGAGTTGTTTTCATATTCATTGTGAGTGGCAGATATTTTCCTCAGCTTATTGTTTATCTTTGGATTGTGCCTTTTTAACAGTAGTTTTTGCCGTAAAGTTTTTTAAAATGTGGTTGAATGTGTCAGTCTCTTCCATAGCTTCTGGGTTTTGTGTCATTCTTGGAACAGCCTCCTGATTTCGATATTTTCTTTTTAAATCCCCTCATATTTTCTTCTAGTACTTTTATGGTTTCATTTTTGAATTTTTAAATCTTCAGTCTATCTGGAATTCATTTTGGTGTATATTGTGAGGGAGCATATCTAGTTGTCCCAAAGCATTTATTGACTAGTACACCACTTCCTGTCTACTTTGAAATGTTATCTTTGAAAAAATTGTGGTAAAACACACACAACATAGAATTTACCATCTTAACCATTTTTGAAGTGTACGGTTCAGTAGCGTTAAGTTATTCACATTGTTGGGCAACAGATTTCTAGAACTTTCTTATCTTGCAAAAGTGAAACTCTCCTTGAACAACAACTCCCCATTGAAATGCTACCTTTTCATCATAGACTAATTTCCTGTCTTTGTCACTTCTTGCCTCAACCACTGTAACAGCTTTCTAGCATTACCATAATTCCAATCTGTCGTGCACACTGGGCCTGATTCATTTTCCTCATGCACCTCTGACCACAGCACTCTCTTATTCAAAACCTTCGGAGTCCCTTCCTGATCCCGCAATTGAAATTAAGCCCCCATTCCACTCTTTTTCAGTGCCTATACCTTTTCTTCCCATCATGTCTCATGCTTTTTAATGATCGATGTGATTATTTGACTGTTCTCTATCTCCTTGCTAAACGTCAAGCTTCATGAGAGCAAGGGCGATGTGCTCACCACATATTCCCAGTGCTTACTTAGCATGCTCCTGGCCCACCGTAGGTAGTCAGTCTGTGTTTGTGGAATGAGAGCTTCCACTTGGCCTCTGGAATAAAGTAGAAACCACTGCAAGATCTGATTCTTTTATTTTTTTTTTTAAGATTTTATTTACTTGAGAGAGAGAGAAGGAACACGAGCGGGGGTTGGGGGACTGGGGCAGGGGAAGGGCAGGGGGAGAGGGAGAAGCAGACTCCCCGCTGAGCAGGGAGCCCCACACGGGGCTCGATCCCAGGACGCTGGGATCATGACCTGAGCCGAAGGCAGACGCTTAACCGACTGAGCCACCCAGGCACCCCTGCAAGATCTGATTCTAACTTACCTTCTCTCAGCCCTCTGCCCTTCAAGGAAGTCAAACTGCTGGACCCGCTGCCCTTTCTGAAAGAGCCGCAGGCTTTCTAGCGCTTGGTTCTGGTTTGTACCCTGCCTTGATTTTATCTTTTTACTTGTGCTTCAATTTCTCCCTGTGCCCGAAGGCCGTGCCTTGCCCTCAGTCCCCCACCAGCAGTACTGCCTTATGGAAATCCAATTCATCCTTCAAGACTGTGGCTCTCTCCGCCACTGGACTGTGAGTTCATTGACAGCGGAGACAGGGTCCCCCTAATTTGTCCTCAGGGAGCAACACAGCTCCTGGATTCCAGGAGGCGCTCGGAGCCACACATCTCCATCTGCTCCCAGGCTGCGGGCTCCTTGCGGGTAGGCAGTGCTCCTTATTGGTGTGCCTCTGGGGACCTTGCTTCCTGGCCCCCCAGGGCAAGACTTAAAGCTGGCTTCAGGAATCTTCCAGTAACCTAATGAATGTGTCTGGTTGTGCTGGGAGAGGCCTGAACAGGGGAAGGGGTGGAGCAGGGGCAGAGCCTTCCCAGCCTTTCCCCAGCTGTGCCCTTGACGTTCCCTCACTCCTGCCTGCCCCTTCTCCAGCGATTAACAGTTACTGCCTCCCGCCCTTCCCCTCTCCTCACCTGGGCAGAGCCCTGGCTCTCCCTAGAGGATGCTCCCTGCCTCTTCCTCCCTCCAAGCCCTCAGGAGAGGAGGCTGCCCAGTTGGCCACAGTTCCGGCCCCTGGGCACCGGGAGACAGGATTGCCACGTCCAAGTTCCTGTTCTCCCTCCTCCGCCAGGCCTTGTCTAGGGATGCCCAGTCCATTCCCTGCCACTGTCTGCTTCCTGACGGCACCCCTGTCACCTCCACGATGATTCCAAGGCAGCCCCTGCCCCCCTCGCCGAGGCACTGGGCCCTGGCTTGGGCTTCTCCCCACCCCAAGGGCATGCTGGAGGCACCAGAACTCACAGAGGTCAGGGGTAGCAAGCTGGGGCCCATGTGCTGGATCCAGCCTGCTAACTTACTTTGTTTGGCCGGAATCGTGTTTTGTAAAGGCCCCAGCAGGGGAAGGACCTCGAACCCTCCAGACTTTTAGGGGCAAGGTTCCTTCCACATCCTGCCATTCTGCTTTAGAGTTCATTCCTGAGGCCACCTGGACCCTAGAGCTGTCCAGATTCTGAAATCCACCTGCCGACCACAGCTTCCCTCCTTCCTCGTCACTTCCTGCCTCCCCAGATCCTGTTCTGTTCTCCACACACAGACCTCCAGGCCCCCAGTCCTGCCCTGTTCCCCCCGGGGCTTCTGTTCTTCTCTTTCTTTTCTTACCCCTGCCTCACCGGTCGTCTGAGAGCCTCACGTCTTCCTGTGGGAAGCCTTAGATGAATCTAACCATCCACCTTCAGCGGGAGCATCCTGAAAATAAAAGTGGGTTCATTCTTTGCTCTCCTACAAACAGGGCCGGGGGTACTAAGGATGAAGACACACTCCTCACCTAGCGTAGAAAGCCCCATGCGCTCTGCCTCTTGCAAACTTCCTCTGCATCGTCTCCTCCCAAACTCCTGTCAGCCTTGAACTTCGTAGCCATCTAAGCAGCCCCTTTTGGGGACCCGTACCCACGCACCAGCTTTTTCTCTCACTCGTTCTTTCCCTGGCTGACCTTACTCTTGTTTTAAAACAAGGGTAGATATGTCTTCGTGTAAAGGCACAGAGCGAGGCCAGTGAGGATATACCACACGCAGATAAACAGCTGCTACCTCTCTGGAGGGCAAGAGGCGATCAGGATTGAGGGAGAGAGTTGGTCAAAGGGGACTTTGGCCTTATCTGTCAAGTTTCTACTTTTCACAGGGCGATTGTATCACGTATTTATTACTTGTGAGCTAGGAAAACAAACAAATGAAGCAGTTCAATACCAGGAAGCCTACCCCAGACTTCCCAGGCAGATGGGGCTGTTTTCTTTTCTGGGATCAAATAGCACTTTCCCCATGTTATAGCAAATACTGCGCTTTATGGTTATTTGTTGGCGCCTCTCTCCTTCTAGATGGGGAACATCCTTAAAGGGAGAAGCTTTATCTTATTCATACTCCCAGTGCCTAGCAAAGTGCCTGGCCCAGAGCAGGTGCTAAGGAAGCACAGAAGCCAGGGCACTGCTTCCGCCAGTGGGAAGCACTTTGAACGCGCTTGCCATGGGGACAGGCCTGACACTAGTCCTGAGAAGTCGATTCGTTTTTACCATATCCAAGGGAGAATGTCTCCAGAAGTCAGAAATATGGGTGGGGGGGCCTCCAGGTTCTCGGGTTGGGTCAACACGGGGATGGGCCCGGCACCCCCAAGGCCAGGATCCAATTCGGTGCTACTGTCCTGTCACTTGGCATGCTTTTTTTTTTTTTTTTTTTTAAGATTTTATTTATTTATTTGAGAGAGAGAGAGCACAAGCAGGGGGAGCGGCAGGCAGAGGGAGAAGCAGGCTCCCCGTTGAGCAAGGAGCCCTATGTGGGACTCATTCCAGGACCTCAGGATCATGACCTGAGCCGAAGGCGGACGCTTAACCGACTGAGCCACCCAGGCGCCCCCACTTGGCATGCTTGTGAAGCCACTGCCTAAAAGCAAGGCTATATTCCTCAACGTTGAACTTGTCAAGCCCAGCCCTAATCTGTATCTCTAAGAGGAAGAGGCCGGCCTCAAGGAACAGGCTGTCCCCTTACCCGGTGGGCCAGGAAGCCCAGCGTTAGGAGGACACTCACGCCAGCTGAGTGTCCCGGGCTTGGAGGGAAAGGATGAACAACTCTCGGGGGGACTTGAAGAAGGCACCTAGAATCCCAGAGTGTCATCATGGGAGTCTGCTACTTTTGCAATTTTCCAGAGAAATCTGAGCTCCCAAGTCATAGGATGCTTCTTAGGTCCCATCTCTTGCCCATGGGCAACAGGGCAAAGGAGTGGCCTTAATGGGTCGATTAGACTGGGGCCTAGAGAGTGGGTAGGGTGGCTTTTAGAGTTGTAGAGCGGGTACCACGTGGCCAGGGCAACGCTTTAGGCTTGGATGTGCCCGGGGCAAGGAGGCTGCTCCTCCGACCAGCCCCTCTATTCAGCCTTGATTAGGACAGCATTCCTGGGGTCTCAGGGCAGTGAGGCCAGGTACTTGGGCCCCTGGAGAGATTAAAGGCAGTGGCAGGCGGCATTTGGTGAGCAGCCCCCTTTGTGCCCCACCCCCACCTCACCCAGCTTCCTCCAGGCTAACCACCCACCACCCCACCGTGGGCCTCAGAATTGCTAGAAGGAACGTCAGACTGTGCCGCACCCCTTTAGACCTCAATGAAGAACACCTCCAGCTGGCCCATCTCTTTGTAAGTAACTTTTATTTTTTATTTACAACAGAGTCGGTGGCTTTGTTCCTCCATCTTTAGGGACGGTGAGCATCAGCAGCCAGATGGAAAGTCCGCAGTGAAGTCAAACTCATTCTGCCCCAGCCACAGCTCCGGAAGCTCATTGGCTCGGTCCAGTCCCAGTTCCACCACCAGCGACATCAGCACCTCCTCATCCACTGGGTCTGAGTCGATGAGAGCAGGGCTCTGGGCACCGGTAGAAGGAGAGAGTGACCCCGCCCCTCCCGCCTGAGCCCCAAGGCCCCAGTTTTGTAGGGGCCCTGCCTCCCCAGGCTGGCCTGGAGTGGCGGCGGCGGCGGCGGCGGCGGCAGCCATCCCATGATACTGGCTATTAAGTTTCTGCAGCTGCATACTGGCCAGCAGATGAGGGGCGGGGTGCAGGTTGAAGGGTGGGGGTTTAGTGGGAGGGGTGGCGATAGGAGAGCCTATTGGAGACGGAGATCCCGAGGAACTAGTGGGAGCCCCACTGGCCTTGGTTCCGTTCGAGGCCACCCCGGGGTAGTGCAGAATGGCCACTGCTTTGCGATCCTTCACGCCCAGGTTAGAGTAGGCCAGCGAGCTCATCTCTGGGTTGGCATCCTACAAGACAGAGAAAGGCACAGCTTGGTACCCCAATTCCTGGTTTGTCCGTCACCGTTCATCGGGCTCAGGAAGCCCCTACGTGCCCTTCCTCTGGGGCTGGTGGTGGGGAGAGAGCAAGAAGGCCCCCTGGCAAGTTAGGCTCCCAGCTCAAGTGTCCTTTTGCTACCACGGTCCCGAGCACTGAGCTCAGACCCAAGTCCTCGGTGCTGGGCGCCCGCCATCCTACGTGGGTCAGTGGCTTTCATCTCTCTCCCCCTGGCCCCTCCTTCACGTCACTATTCCGAAAAAGGCACCTCATTGGCTCTCTTCTCAGCCTCACAGCAATCTCTTCAAAGGAGCGGCCCTGTGCCGCTTCTGCTTCTCTGTTCCCCTTCTCTGCCATCTTTCAACACCTCGGTGGGCTCGAGTTGACCATACTTAGGCAGAAGCTATTCTCATTCTTCCCAGAGAAAGCCCTGCTGTCTCCTCTCTGCTAAAGGACACTAGCTACCGTGCATGGGAGGGCCTACCACAAGGCCCAGACCAGGTCGTCTTTCCATGCCTCTCGGTGTCTCCATCGGCAAGATGGCGGAAGTTACCTCCTTCACAGGTGAAGTGCCACCCCTGACATCAAGTGCAGGCCTTGACATAGTTGGCATTTCAGAGCCTTGGCAGAAGCTGGATAAATTGGTGGGAGATGATGCCGTCAGTTGGAGCTTTCGTGCTGTATGTGAGGGAAAAGAAGTAATAAGGACCAAGGCTTTACTGACCCAGAGAGCACTAGCAAAGCCCTAAGCAGGGCAGCTCCACATAGCTACGAGGCAAGGATGGTAACAGCGTTAGGCCCAAGACCAGAAACCACCTGAGCAGAGGTAGGAGATCAAGCTAGAACATTTGCCCAAGGCAGGAAAGGTGCTTGATTTAGCCAGGTGCTGCCCACATCCCCAAGAGGGGGCACATGTAACTGTTTCCTCATGTGAGTGACTTCAGAGCCTCAAGTGTGTGCGTGAGGTGCACTGTTTCTGATTCTGAGGGCAGGGATGTCCCTGAGCAAGGAGCACACTTTCTCAGTGGACCACTGGCACCTGGGCTGGGGACCTGGGGCCTCCACTGGGATTGGGAGAAAAGTGGGAAGGACTGAGGGCAAGGAAGACCTGGAAGGCTGGCTGCGTCAGCTGGGGGAAGGAATGAGTCCCCAAAGCTAAGGTCATGGGGCTGCAGAGCCCTGCCTCCGGCATGGGTGCGAGAGAAGCCCGGCCGATCAGGGTGGTCTCGGGGCACGAAGGCAGCCAGAGAGAGCAGCTGGGAATGTCTCAATCGCCTCCAAGCCTCCCAGACAACCTGGGCAGCACCGGACCTTCCCAGGATATCTGCTCGGAGGCCAACCACACCCATCTGTAATGACAGGTGGCAATGATTCTTCCTGGAGGGAAACTGAGGCACAGAGCCTCAGTGGCTGTCCTATCAGGTAGCTCTGGTTCTGGGAGCAGGGGCTAGCACTCCTTATATCCACATGCCTCACCTGACCACTGGCCAAGTCATCATACCGGGAATGATTCAGACGGCTCCTGGAGAAATGATTCCCCAGCTCAAGTGCCAAAGGATAAGGGGATGAGGGGAAAAAGAATACCCCCAAACCAGAAAACTAAACATCTCTGAAAAATCTCCAGTTATTTTCCTGGAAGCTTTTTTTTTTTTTTTTTGAGCCCCCGATATTCTGGCCTTCATGATGAGTTAGAGATGTAGAATTTCATATTTATAAATACCTCTTAGCCCAGAAATCCTTCAGGACCTTAAAAAAGGATCTCTAATCTGTCCGGCAAGGTTTGATTTCTCCACACCCCCCTCTTCCCAGTGGTCATTAGAAATCTGTTCAGACACTTCTAGAAAGTGACCGCTCACTACCTCTCTTTCTCATCGCCATTTAGACAGGAGGGAGGCAAGAAAAACAGAGCAAGGAAGAAGGGGGCGGGGAGAAAACACGAGAAAATCAGTTTCTGGGTTTGCCACGGCCGCTTGATTGGAAAGCCCTGCTTCTTCTCTGAGGCAACCGGAGAATATTTCAAGCCAGTGATCACAAGACAAGGAGTCTAATCCATGTCATCTTCAAAAGCTCGGCACCTTTGGTATCAAGCAATTCTGTATCCAAACAACAATGTCTGGGGGGTAGGGGGCTGACCATCTTTTCCCTTTCCTATTCAGCCTCCCTTGCTTCTGCCGCCAGGTACCCGAATGTACAAAAGAAAAAGAAACAAAACAGCGGAAACAACAATAACAAAAAGAAACAGAGGAGAGAGAGAGGAAAAAAAGTAGAAAAAAAAAAAAACGCGAAAAAAAGTCTCTGTGTTCTGATTATCAGTTCCTGGGGAAGACCATTTTACCATGTCTCCCCCTTCAGGCTGGGAGCTCCCCTAGGCGGGACCCTGTTTCCATTCGGATCTGTGGCCCTCCCATCACTGCCACCTCCCCATCCGCCCTGACCCCCGGCCTGGGTCTGGGCTCTGTGGGCGCTCAGTAAGTGTTTCTGGGTCCGTCTGAAGCGGCAATAGCATTTCGATCGGAATCCCTGCCCCTGCTTCGCCAAGTTTCGGTCCCCACTCTGGCCCCCCACCCCCAGCCCATTCGAAGGCAAAACTTGGCCGCGCGGAAACGTCTCAGCCCGCTATCCGAGCTGCGAGCTGACCACTGCTCAACCGCCGCGAGAGGCGGCTGGACAACCCGGAGCAACAAGTGCCTCCGCGCCCGATGGTGCCTCGCGGGCCCCGGCCACCAGTCCCCGGTCCCGCCGCCCTCCCTTCTCTACAGATCTTCCCCAGGGCCGGCAGCCCCCTCCCGCCCAGATGGGGGTGGGGAGGGGAGAGGAAGAAGAGAGAAGGGAGAGGCAGGTAGGGGGCCGCGCCTTTGACCTGTTGGGGGACCCAAAGTTAAAATGGCACCAACCGGATGGCTCCATCTCGATTGCTATTTTCTCACTCAGAAGGAGAAATTTAAAAATCCAAACAGTACTGCGGCTTGGCTTGGACGCGCTCTAACCAGACCGGTCAGTTTCGCCACCTGAAAACTAAAGGCCCGTTGTTTGCGGACAGCTCGGCCGCCCTCCTCGCCGCATCCCAGGTGGATCTGCGGGAGTTGGGGGCGGCTGGGAGCATCCCTGCACGGTGGGCGCGAGCACCCAGGCCACCGGGGCCCCGAGCGTCCGCTCCCGCAAGTGCCGTGATCAGGAACCGATCGTAGAGCCCGGATGGGCGGGCAGACGGGGAGGGGCGCGGGGTCTCCGCCTCGGCCGCGAGTTTGGGGCCCCGTGGTCGCCCCGCGCGCGGCGGCGCACTCAGCGCCGGCACTCCCGCGCCTCACCAACACTTACTGAGCGCCCGCTGAGCTATCCGACGCGGCCGCAGGCTGAGCCTACCCCCTAAGCCAAGCCGCCCGTAGTCAGTGCTATTAAGCCCGGGTAGGAGAAGAGTGAGACAGGCTCGGAGAGGTTCGGTAACTTGCCCAAGGTCACAGTGCTAGAAAGTGGCGGAGCCGGGATTCGCAGCCAGGTCGCTCTGACTCCAAGTCCGGCGCTCGGCGAGGCAGGGACTCAGTGCGCGGCCCGGCCCCGCGGCCCTCGTTTATAGGGAGAGGGGTGTGTGCGTGGGTGTGCGTGGGTGTGTGGGCGTGCGTGTGGGGGAGAGGAAAGGTCGGCTGGGTGAAAGAGGCAAGTTGCCCAAATTCGCTAACTTCCATCCCGCAATCCCGCTGAACTCGGCCCCCAAAGCCCCTCTCGTCTCCAGTCCCCGAAGGAAACCTGAGCTGTGTGCAGCCCCGGAGCCGGAGCGTCCAGATGCGGTCCGGGCGGTTAGCAAAGTCGGTGGAAGCCAAGCTGGAGAAAGCGCGGGCGCGGGGAGAAAAGGTGCTGCGGTCTCCCCGGGAGAAGCGGGCGCCTGGCCCGGCTGGCCGGCAGGCGGGCGCGCTGGCGAGCGAACCGGCTCGCTGGCGGGCGGGCGGCGGCCCCTCCGCCCCCAGCAGAACAGCTTTCAAACAGAAAACAAGTCCCCCAGAGTCCCCCAGAGCCCCCCGGCCCGCGCGGCCGCCGCCCGCTCCCCACACCCGCTCGGCTGGAGTCCCTGGCCCCGCCGACCAGCCCAGCGCCCTGCCCGGCGGCCCGGCTTACCTCTGCGAAGCCGCCTGCCCTGGAGAGAGGGAAGCGCGGAGCCCGGTGAGCCGCGGGCGAAGCGGCCGAGCCCCCAGCCCCTGGCACGCACGCCGCCGCCGCCGCGAGCCGGTCGCGCTCGGTGCCACCCGACCCCGGGGCGCCTGGGTAAAGCCCGCCGCGCCGCGCCGCCGCCGCACCGCACCGCACCGTGCCGCGCCAAGCAGCCCCGGCCCGCGCCCGTGCCCGCCCTCAGCTTCGGCGCCTGACTCCGGGGCGGTGGCGGTGGCGGCCGCCGCGCTCCCTTCCCGGCGCCGGGGACCCGGTTCTCAAGCCCCCATTGCCGCCCGGAGAGCCCTGACGCACACGCATACGGCAGCAGGCTGGACTCGGCTAGGAATCCCAGGAAGGACAGACCCTTTCCCCCCTTTTTTCCCCTCTCCCCCCAATTTCCACGTCTTTATAACCGGCTTAGGGCATTATTAGCACATGTCCTGGCTCGTGGGCGAGTTGATGGCAAAATCTGAACTGGATACTCACCGAGGGCCAGAGCGGGTGCTGCGCCTTCCTCAGCCCTCTTCCTCCTCGCCGGGAACGACCCCCCGCAGGCGGGCTGCGGGCGGGCAGCCGGGCGGAGCGAGCCTCCTCTCGGCGGCTCAGCGGTGCCCCTTCTGCAGCTGTGCCGCTGGGAACATTTTATAGCGGCGGCTGGCGTGTGTGGCCCTTTAAAGGCGCTCAAGCTGGTGCAGTCACCGCGGATCGTGTGAAAGCGAAGGGCCGGCTGGGGAACGGAGTCCGAGCGGCCCCGCGGGTCCGGCAGCGCCGGGGACCATCCGCGGTTCCCGGGGTGGGGGTGGGGGGGAGAGCTGGCGGGCCCAGGCCGTGGGCACTCGGAGCCTTGGGCCTCAGGCCGACGCCTGCGCTTCTAAAGCTGCGGGGGGCCCGTGCCCGGGACCTGGTCTCTCCCCACCGCCCTGCATGGACTTGCCCAATAAATTCCACTTAGCAATTTCGCTGAGGCGAGGGAGAGCTGTTAGTGTCTATTTTCTGACCTAAATCTTGCGGGGTGGCCAGAGCGGGCTTCAGGGGGCTGGGGACGGGGGACGGGGGCGGGGGGGGCGCGGAGAGAGCCAGAGGGGCTCAGGGAATGGCCTGGGGGAGAGGGACGCACTCGGGACGGGGCTGGTGCCGGCGGGGCATGATTGGAGTTTTCTGCAGGGCTTTCTCGGAGCCTGTTTGGCCCCTTTGGGCCGCACCATCTTGTTGAAGGGCTGAGGCTGGGAGTCCCTTTCCCCATTGAAGTCCCCGGATTCCGGGCAGAGCCTCATGGAGGGCCTCTCTGGCAGCGGCGGCTTCCCTCGAAGGCCCGAGCGGGGGTTGGGTTGGAGGGATTCACTCTTGTGGTCACCCCAGGCAGGAGGAGGCTGGCGGGATGCGACGCGGTGATATGCTGCCCACCGGGACCGTGGGGCCAGGTGCAGCTCAGGAGGCACGCCGAAAAGCCAAGAACCGGCAGCCGGGTCCGAAGAGCTTGCCCCGGAGCCCGAGGGGGATTCCTTCTGCCTTCCCATGATGCCAGGTTATGTTATTACGATTATATAATCATTCCCATCTAGCAGGAATAACATTTTGCTTTTGGAGCATATTTCTCAGGTTGGGATACTGTCTTACAGATGTTTCAGGGAAAGAGGTCCACGTCCTGTCCACCTTAGTTCACGTTCCTTGTGGCCAACAAGCTCCCGTCTCACCTCTTCTTACAGGAAGGCCACCAGGATTATCCCTCTACCAAACTCCCTTTTTTGGCCCCTTTCAGCAACGACTCATTTTACACTGTTTATAGAACAAGCTCTCTCTCTCTCTCTCTCTCTTTTTTAAAGTCCTGACGATAAGAAAAAAGAGGTGAGGGAATGTCATGAAGTCATTTTCACTATGTATGTGTTCTGTCTTCTTAATTGGATTTGAAGACCTAAAGGTCTTTTCTTTTTTTTCTTCCTTCATTTTTTTTTCTTCCTTCCTTCCTTCCTCTCCTCCCCCACCCCCTTTTCCCTGAGCGCCCTGCATTTGCTCTTTGAACAAAGTTCTGTTTGTTGACGGACTAACCGGCTTACTGACATAAAGATGGGGAGCAAACGGAGCGACGGATCAAGGCTCTTCCTTAACACCTGGAGGAAGCTCAGGGCGTGCTCTGGTCGCCAGCTAAGCCCCTTCCCCGGCCCCAAAAGCTGCCTTGCGCGGCTCCATTCCTTCCCCTCACCTTGCCTCAACACAAACCCCAGTAACAACCACATACACCCCCCCCCCAAACCATTTCTCACTTTGCCCAGAGATCGTGGATCGTGCCCAGTTTGCCTCCGATAAAAGGCGGGATCCGTCGGAACCCTAAAACCCTACAGAGTTTGCCTGTGAAATACACCCTCAAGCCGTCTTGGTGTTGGCCTGAGGTGAGCGACCCCTTAAGCTTTCGAATTGTGTGTTGCCGATTTGGACCTCCGACCTACCCTCCCCCTCCGCCCCCTCTCGGCAGCGGGTCTGGAAACAGCGGCGGCAGCCCCGCTGCAGGCTCCGGATCCGGGAGGTGTCGGATCCGCCCTCCATCTATTGGATGGCTCCCAGGCCAATTGTTAGAAAGAGGCATATGTTCATCTCGGCTTCTGGAGTGTCTCCGGAGCAGTTGCTCAACAGCCAGCCCCCTCCCCCATCCGGACCCTTGAAGGGCAGAAAAAGGAGCGCCCTCCGCCACAATTCTCTGTGGCCACATGCCGGAGAGGGTCTCCTCACCGGTGACTTCCTGTCATCTCCGCTGTCCACCTCCTGGGGAGCGGGGAAGAGAGGGGCTTCAAGCACTCGGTTGTGGCGCACAAAAGCCACCCCTTTCCTTTTGGGGGAGATGGGAGAGGAGGTTAGTTGCAGAGGCAGGGAGAGAGCAAAGGAGACATTTGCATCTATCTGCAAATTTGCCCCGGATCACAGACTTCCCAGTCGGCTCCAGCCCAGCTCAGAGCTCTCCGCTGAACTCTCTATCCCCAACTTGGGAACTAGATCCGCGAGCTCGGGAGGCAAGGAGAGGACAAGGATGGTTACCCAGCAAGAACCTTCCGTGTGCCCGCGTTGGGCCTAGCATGTTCTCATCCATCATCTCACTTAATTCCCACGACAGCCCTGCGAGGTAGGGTTTACCAAAGGTGAAACGGGAGCCCCAGAGATTGGCCCAAGTTCACAGAACCGGGAGGCCGGGTGTTCGAATCTGGGTCAGGCTGACTGCAGAGTCCTTACTCCCACCCTTACGCCTCCCCGCCTGGGAGGATAAGGTTGCCCGCTAGATTGGCTGTCACGAATACACGTTCAGGGGTCAGTCCACTTGGGTTTAAATTCCTCCACTGCCATTTACTAGCTGTATGATCTCGGGCCAAGTGGCTTCACTCTTTGGGCCTCGGTTTTCCGGTCTGTTAAATGGGGATAATAATGGGAGCGACTCTGCGGGTTTGTTGCAAGGATCCAGGGAAAAGCTTAGCCTGGTTGGTGCCTGCTGGGTAGTTAGCGGTTAACAAAGGCTGTTGTTGTGCCTTCTCAGTCTTTTCCTGTTGCCTCTTAGCCCATACACTGTCTCAGCTCATACACTTCAGGTTCAGTATTACTGACTGATTAACTGAAAAGCCAGGCTGAGGGGATGAAGGAGGTCTATAAACTCAGGAAGGGTTGGGAGAGGAAAATACAGATTTGTTCCAAAAATCCCATCCTCCAGAACCAAAGGGCTGTCTGAGCTATATGACAGGAGTAAATTAGGGACCAATAGAAGATGACCACTTTTTACAGGACAGCCGGTAAAAACACACACAGTGGTCCCCAGAAACACATACTCAATATGCGTGTAGAAAATTTAAAAAGCACGTCTTTGTTCAAGAATGTTTGGAGCAGAATTATTTATAATAGTGAAAAATAAAAAGCAATCTAAACGTCCACGGTAAGGACGTACCTCGGTATCTTCACACCTGTGCACGCGGGCGCGCACGCACGCACACACACACACACACACACACTCCTGATTTCTAAAACTCTTTTATTCCTGGGAAAATGTTCCTAACAAAAAAATGAAAAAAATACTGGGTACAAAGTTGCATAAATATGATGCCCAGTTGCAACCAGCACAAAGAATAGAAAATTAAATACTATGTTTCTAACCATGTATGAATATGGGTAATGATGCAATGGTCAGGAAAACACCAAACCAACAACAGGGTCAGTAGGGTGGTAGGATTATGAGTGATTTTTTTTTTCTCTTTTTTCCACGTTATGCAACATGGTGATATTTTCCTTATAATTAAATATAAATTTATAGTTAATGAACTGCACACATTGTATGCCCGCACTTTTGTTAAAATTATATGTGCATAAAAAAATTGGGAGTAAATATACCAAAATGTTAACTGTGATTAT